TGAAAAAAAAATTCATTACTTTTGAAGGAATCTTCAAAAGAATAAATATTAGAAAAAAACTATATTTACATTAAACTTATTATATTATTTAAATAAAATTTAAATTTCATAAATAGTTCAACTTATTACATTAAATTTACTTTTCTTATTAAAATAAAGAGAATAAATTTAGAATTTTTTTTATAATTTCAAAAATTCTTAAGCGATTTCAAATTACAAAAGATATAAAATTTAAGTACTAATAATAAACTTAATTAAGACTTAAAATTTGATATATTTAGATTAAAGACTATAAAGAATCTTTAGAAATATATTTAATAATCAACTATTCAAAAAATTAATTATTTAGCAGATTTAACGAATAATTTTTTATCGCGCAAAGCGCGGCTAAGTTCAATAGTTAGTAGATAAAATCAAATATTAGATATCAATAGTATAATACATCGATCTAGATGCACATAAAACTAAGTAACACTAATTTTCTTATATATTATATAATTCGCTTTAAATGATATATTAGGGGGTGAGGCTCACAACAACATCCACGATCTCTGATTGTGCCATGAGACATATAATTCGCTTTAAATGATATATTAGGGGGTGAAGCTCGCAACAATGTCCACGATCTCTGGTTGTGCCATGGGACATGAAGGAGGTGTGCCAGGACTTGATCTACAAGATGGAGCAGAGGGAGGTATTGGTACACCTTTTGGTAACATTTGACCAAAAACACTTGAAGATGTTTTAATTTCAACTCGAGACTTCAAATTCAATATCTTTCGATTCGTAATTGCATGACTCGAAGAATAGTAAAGAGTGGTCAAAAATAGAAAAAGGAGGATCTTAAAAAGTCTGCTTTGTTTCTTCATCCTATAGTAAAGTAGTATTTTGAATGTGTACAAGAATGTGCTTTTTTAATTGTGAACGAACTATGTTGTTTATATAGATAAAAAAAAAGTGTGTACCATTATTTGAAAATTTTGTTTTTATTAGAAAATATATATATGCATTAAATAATTATAACCATATATACATTCAAGAATAAGTATGAAAGGAAAATAAATAAGTTTGATTAAACCGTTATATTTTTCTAATAAATACAAGGATATGAATTGATTCTTTATCCTAATTCGTAAAGTAAATTCAAATAAGAAGTTGTTTATTTTAAGAAAAAATAAAGTCATTTATTTGTTGTGATTTTATTAATCTTAGTCCTTAAATACTTTAATCTTTATTTCATTTAACTAAATACATTCTTACTCATCAAAGTAACAACCACCCTATGACATTTTGTATTTTAAAGAACTTTCGATAATTATTATACATCACCAGTTAAACAATACGATACCGGCACAGAATAACAGCAAAATTGAACAATGACAAGATGTTGAGTTATTTATTTTCTTGTTCACTTATCGATAAATCTTTATATAATAACAATGTTAACAATACGATACAATACATACGAGGTCCTTGTATGTATTGAAAATCCATGAGTTGACACTATTTGGCTTTCAAGTTCTCAAATTCTTAACCAAACTAAATCATTATATAAAACAATTTACCAAAGTAATACATTTTTCTAAAATTTTACAAAACTAGTATAAACGTATTTCACGGTAACGTTTTAGGGTATATTTTATTTTTTAAAAACTAACAGCATTAGGTTGATATACGTTACTGTAAGTAACGTTTTAATTTTAAAACGTTATTTTCAGCAATGTTCACAGTAACGTTTTAGGAGTAACGTATATCAATCTGACGCCATCAACTTTTAAAAAATAAAGTGTATCCTAAAACGTTACTGTGGAATACGTTTATACTAGTTTTGTAAAATTTTAGAAAAACATATTATTTTGGTGAATGACTTTATATAGTTTGGTTAAAACCTCCAAGTTCTCATATCTGAAACCCTAGCTGAGTGAAATGACCAATATACCCCTGTTATGTGTATTATATATAATAGAAAAATAAAACCCTAGCTGCTAGCATAGCATTTGAGACGATAACTATGACTATGAAGATGAAGTGTACATGCTCCCATCGTCGCCATGCCCATGTAAATTTAGCTCATACAAAAGCGAAGAAGTCCATTCTTAAGAGAATAAAAGCTAATCTTAAGTTTAGCAATGGAGATGAAGAAGAAGAAGCTATCAAAAAATTCAATCTCAAGAGCCCTTCAAATCATAATACACACCACATCGAGATTCATCAGGTCACTTCTCACTTCAGTTCTGCAATTATTTTGAACTAATTATAGTTGGTTTTATTTTGATATACTATACTCCAATCTAGGTCCCAACAAAAATTCATTTACAAGACGAAATAATGATGGACATTCTCCGCAGATTGCCTGTGCAGTCTCTTGTTCGATTTAAATGTGTTTCAAAATTGTGGAAATCATTAATGAACGACCCTTACTTTAAGAGGACACATTATATTCATAACAGGGATAACCAAAAAGTTCTTTTTGCCGAAAGGTTACTTGATAAGGATGAGACATATAACTTCTATACTAGTTCTTTATCGATGGTTGAGGATAAACAAAAGCTTGATGGGCCTACAAGCTGCAATCCGGTGGATGCTATACTATTTTGTTCTTGTGATGGATTGGTTCTTATTCGTGTTTGTTCTAGAAAGTTCTGCGAAGAACTTTTGTTGTGGAATCCGTCCACAAGAGAATCAATACTACTTCCCCGTCCAGAATTTCCATTATTGAATTATGTATTTGGCATGGAATATGATGCAACTAGTGAAGGCTATAAGATCGTTGCAGTTAACCTCAATGGAAGTAAAAGTATCAATATTTCGGTTGAATGTCTCTCTCGAACAAGTCCTTGTTGGAGAAGAATTGATTATCCTACTGACATTGAGCGGGTTAGTGGTTTTAGGGATTGTGGTACGGATAATTTGGCGTTTCTACATGGAGCATTTCATTGGCTTGGTAAGTCACCTTCTGGATATCATACTACGGTTTCGTTAACTATTTCAAATGAGGTGTATGGAGAGGTACCGTTATTGAAGCAAATGTATTATCTATGTCCCCTCTACTTCTTCGTCGATCATGGTGTTTCAGTATTGAGAGGAATGCTTTGCTTTTATTCTGCATATAACCTTATTGAGTCTAGAGGCACTTTTAAGTTGTGGATAATGAAGGAGTATGGTGTGAGGGAATCTTGGACTAACTTTATTAAAATAAAAGGTACCGATCTTTTTCTATCAGCCCGACCATTATATATGTTTGCGGATTGTCAAGTGTTACTACACTTCCGGCGTTTCACATATTTTAGTTCTAATTTCACGACAAGTGGAAGACCATTTGATTTATGCCCTGAATGTGATACTGCTAAGAGCGGAGTTGTTTTTGCAGAGAGCTTCATTTCACCTACTTCACTTACTTATTAGTATTTACATATGTTTTCTTTCTGTTGAAGATTATGTAACAAATGAATTTATGTTTTCTTTCTGTTGAAGATTATAAATGTGTGAATCCACCTAAAGTATCATATAATGTGACAATGATTGGTTACATATCTTAGAATTTTGACTTTTGTATCTATCTTGTTTTATTTTTCTTTCTAAAACTTGGTAGCAATTCTTTAAATGGTTATTGATAGCACCTCTCCCATTTTAATTTATTGACCGTTTTAATTTTGGAATAATAGTTTAACGGTTTTCAATGATAAAGTTAAATTGATTAGATATATCTTTTCATAGTAATGCACCATCCTATCGAAATCCTAAATACGAGTCGAAAATGTTCAAAAGCTTCAGAAAGTTGGATCGAGAAGTGATAATAATTCAACTCAAAAGCTCATTCCATCTATCATCTATATGGTAGAAGAAAAAGGGTTGGTCCTCGTTTTCCTAATGCTATGTTAAAGGAGCTTCAATTACCGAAACGGTACGCAGATTTCGATGAAGAAATGTTGATTACAACTTAAGCTTTGCCGAGAATGTAGGTTAAGATGTATTTCACTTATGTTGTATGTATTTAAGTTAAGTTAGTCAAGTAAATGAGCGTTGTTTAAAACTGTCAATAATTCGGAGATGAAATTGATAATTTCTACCAAAATTAAGAATATTTGCGATACTTCTCTCTATATTTTTTATATGGAAGGAGTAGTTATTTACTCGTATTATAATTTCGATATAACTTATTCATCTACCAAATAATCCCTAAATGTCTCAAAGGGGTGTGTAAACATTAAAAGACAAATAATATATACAAAAATGTAATAAATTAAAAAAAAAGAAGAAATTATAGGACGTAAATTGCAAAGAACTTTCATAATATTTGTTCACTATAAATCAAGCACCCACATGAAATTATTTTGATGCTTAATACCTTTTTGGTCTCTTAACAAAGCTGATTATACATTCAATTTTAAATGCACATACACCATAGTAAAACAAACTCTAGTATACATATAATTCCGATGGCCGGGCAACACCATCGTCCGTTCTCGTAGGTGGTGCACTAGGCGGTAATGAGGTGGGAGCCGTTGGTGGAGGTGAAGGTCGAGGTGGTGGACATATCGTTGAAATAGGCATGCCAGGACTTGTTTTACAAGACGGAGCGGATGGAGGTAAAGGGACAAACTTTGGTAACATATTACCAAAATTATCGATGTAAGACTTAAACTCGAATAATTTTCTATGAGTAGTAATTGCATGACTCGAAGAATAGCAAAGAGTTGTTAAAAACAAAAAAAGAAGACACTTGAAAAGTCTACTTTCTTTGTTCATCATATCGTAGAGCTAATAATATTTTAGAAGTTAAAAATGTGTTGAAATATTATTGGTTTATAATTTTGTACAGGAACTATGCTATTTATATAGTTCAAAAATGTGTGTGAACATTATTTAGTGACCTACTTTTTTGTTGGAAGATTAATTAAGTATAATTCTAATTTTGACTTAAAAACAAAGAAGTTGGGGAGTTAATTTATGAGTCATGTAACAGTTGAGTGATTAATTGATCTCTCTAAGAAGGATAAAAAATCAAATAATCTCAAATTTACATAGATAACATAAATAAGGTGATTACATGTATCAATCAATATTTTTTCATCGAAAATAACATTATATGAAAAAATCATTTTTTCTTGAAGAGTTATTATCATATGTTATTATTTTAGTAATGACTACAATAATAATTAGACTGACGTTATAAAATTCTTTCATTACTCTATATGTGTTACGGAAAAATATTGATTCCAGATATATCTTTTCACAACTTGTCACTATATGTATTCTCAAAAATTTAATATTTTGTCGTTGTATGATAATTTTTATGTAATTGAATAGATAAGTAACACATGACTTATTCTAAATATACTTTTCATTTTATTTTATGTGTTTCAATTTTTTTTTTAATTGCAAAATATAATCTCCAATGTAATATTTTACCATCACATTGAAGAGGATAAACGAGATAAGATTCTTGAATTTTTGAAGAAGTGGGCTGTAAGGAAAAAATATAAATGAAATTCTTTCCTTTTTCTGCATATATTTATTTCAAATAAAATCGATCGCGTCTATGTGTGTGATCTCGTTGCTGTCTTTTTCTTACAACCTCACTTTTTCAAGAATTCAAGGTTCTTTTCTCATTTATCTTCTTCAATCCCAATATCTCTTTAAAATTGTTAGAAAAAATAGTAGAAAATACAGCTAAATAAGAAAATGCTTTGAGGCGTGTAATTACTTTCTTTAAAGAGATATTACCCATATACTACATATTGGGATAAATATAAACTAATTCTGTTCAAGGACACAACATGACCCTTAGATATACTTGCAAATTTTTGTTTTGGCTACTTTTAGAGTCTTTAATTTTATATTTATAGAACTTAAGAAATGATTACTTATAAGAGTGACGTTCTTTCATGAACATCTTACTTTTTATAAGGGTTATGTTCTTTCAGGAACATATGATTATTCATAATAGTCATATTCTCTTACGAATAAATGTGTTAGTTCAATTTAAAATCTCTATATATTACAAAATATGTAAAATCATATATGATGCAAGTACTTATTAGATGAATCTCAAGATAGGAAATTAAATATTAAACAAAACAAACAAAACAAAGAAGATCTAAGTAACATCTTAATTTCGTCTACAACTATGTCGAAACATAATTCAAATTTTTTTCTTACTTTTATGTGTTACAAGTATATGTTTGATTATTTGTATTAGAAATCAAGTCGTTCACGCAGAAACAAAGTTATGTAATTTATAATTAATTAAATTAACTTTGGTTGAATTGATATTTTATTGTTATAAATTTATTTAATTTAATAAAAATACTATTACAATTTTAATGGTCAACTATTCAATTTTTTTTAAAAAAATATTTTCTTCTTATTTTCGGCAATGTTAAGCTGAAATTACAGTTCGAAAATATCTTCTAGCAATTCTCTGAACAGTCAACATATAGACTCTGATTTGATTTGTATGTTTTTTTATACATTGCTTATTGAAAAACAATAACGAGCGACATCAATTATTCAAACATATATTTTTTAGTATTTGATTAATCTTTATTTAAACTATATTTTTATTATGTACCTATAGATAAATTTTGTGCGTTGAAAAATAAATAACCTTTATTATTCAATGTTCAACTTCTGAAAATATCTTAATCATTACGATGTATATTCAAATTTTAATAAAGATAAAATGAGACTTAGCCAAATTTACGTATACAATCTTCTAACATATATAATTTTTTTTAGGAATTTTGAAAATTTTTCTCTCTTATTTTTCTTCCTAACTTTTATTTACACAAGTCATACCCACCTTTTCCCCACCACCATCAAGAACTATTGTTCATTCACCATAACAATGAAAAACCATTGTCATATAAAAAAGAAAAAAAAAGAAATTAATCAAGAAATTTTTTATACCATAAATTTGCAGTCTATTTCATTTCAATAATTTCAAAATTATATCAAACATGCGCTTTCAATAGTATGATACATCGATCTAGATGCACATACAACAAAGTAACACTAATTTTATTACATATATATAATTCGCTTTAAATAATATAATGATATATTAGGGGGTGAAACTCTCAACAACGTCTACGATCTCTGGTTGTGCCATGGGACATGAAGGAGGTGTGCCAGGACTTGATCTACAAGATGGAGCAGATGGAGGTAATGGTACACCCTTTGGTAACATTTGACCAAAAACACTTGACGATGTTTTAATTTCAATTTCGGACTTCAAATCCAATATCTTTCGATTCGTAATTGCATAACTTGAAGAATAGTAAAGGGTTGTTAAAAACAGAAAAAGAAGGCTCTTGAAAAATTTCTTTTTTTCGTTCATCATATTTTAAAGTAGTATTCAGAATTGAAATATGTGTACAAGAATGTGATATTTTAATTATGAATGAGCTATGTTGTTTATATAGAGAAAAAAAAAGTGTGTACCATTATTGAAAATCTTGTTTTTATTAGAAAAAATATATATATCATTAAATAATAATTATATCTAAACTCCAGGATAAGAATGAAATGAAAATACATAAGTTTGACTCGACCGTTATATTTTTCCAATAAATACAAGGATATGAATTGAGTCTTTATCCTAATTCCTAAAGTAAAATTTAAATAAGAGGTCTTATGTTTATTTTAAGAAAAAAAGTCATTTATTTGTTGTGATTTTATTAATCTTAGTCCTTAAATAGTATTAATCTTTATTTCGAAAAACTTTTTTTTGAGATGAATTTCATTTAACTAATACATTCTTACTCATCAAAGTAACAACCATATGGCATTTTGTATCTAAAAGAACATTCAAAAAATCAACTTAAATATAATTCTAATTTAGGGCATTATTATTTTCACAATCTTATAATTAATTAGCTTACAACGTCTCTATAGATACATCATAGAAATCAATAAAGTACACGAACTTAATAAAAAATAATTGGGATGGAAAGATGGAACAATTAAAAGTACAAATATAATTATTTACTTTTTTACTATTACATCAACCATATTATTTGAGTCATCCTTCCAAGATTTAAAGCTGATATCACTAGTCTAAAAGGTCCAACCCAAAGCTAATATCAAGAGAAAAATACTTTTACTTTATTTGATAGGGGCAGAGAATATTACTCTATCGATAAAAAAAATAACAATTCTATAAGACATATAAGACAAACATTATTTTTTATCTGGAGAAGGCACAAGTACACCTAAACTATGATTGAAAATTCAGAAACATACTTTAATTAAACTAAAGTTCTACTATCCCTTAATTCATTTTTTTTTGTAATTTTATAGTACAATATTATATATAAAATGAATTTAGGGGTAAAATGACCTTAGTCCAGTGTGTATGAATTTGGTTCTTAGTCTAGAATCTTCAAGGATCCAATTGCTTACATAGTTCCATATATGTAAGATAAACAAGTCTATTTTTGGCCGCTGTTCTGTGAATGTTGGTATGCTTGCAAAAATATTTGAGTTGATCTATCTTGCAACATCCAATTGTTTGTCCAAGTAACAGAAATAGCCAATTAATTGACACATCCTTTGAGATAATTGGCTTAACACAATTTCTTTGGTTGCAATATTTGCAATTAGGCAAAATTTGGTTGCAATATTTGCAATTAGGCAAAATAGGGGTCATCCAAATATTT